TGAGAACTTAACATGTTCAATGCCTGATGTCCTCTATTCTTTTTCACCTCTTTCCACTGTAAGTCAATGATACCTGTTCTGGGCTATCATCTGGTTTCTGATCTCTCTTCAGGTCTATCTGTCCCTGTCCTTTGTGTTCTTGACCAAATTATGTCTCTGGTAAACTGGCTCTCAGGATCAGCAGCTTTTTCTTGAAAGGCTCCCAAAGCTGACTGGGAACTGATTGCAGATGGCAGAACAGCAGCACCGTTCACCTAGGAAGTACCACTGGCTCATAAACAGCAGCATACTTCTCAGCATAATCTCCCTATCCACTCAGGGTAGCTTACCTAAAGAAAAATGAATAAACAAACCTAAAATTAGAGGGAGACAGACAACTCAAGGACACAATGGGAAGAGAGATGATCACAGAGTCAGCATCAGGTGTACCCTGTCTAGGGATACTGGGCAACCCTGGTAAAATAAGGGTTAATTTGGCTTAGGCTATGCTAGCAAACACATAGCCCTACAATTAATTACATTTAATTTGCTTATGCAAAACATGCCCCCAAAATACACCTTTATTGAGGGGAAGGGGAGAGAAAGAAGATACAATAAATAAAAGAGGCTTTGTTCTATTTTTTATATAAATGTTATGTACGGGTAAAAACTCTGCCATAGCCAGTCAAATAAGAACTTTATTTATTTACTGGCTTGCTTACCAAAAGCACCCAGGAGCTGAATAATTACAAGAGTCATATAGAGATCACATCCCATTGGCTGCGCTTGTCTATTTGTTGTATGAGAGATGATTTCCTTTGGTTTCTAGAGTGCTGAGCTACCAAAGTCAGATGTCCAGTATTCAGGTGCCTACATCACTGCTTATTAGAAACACAACACAGTAACACCTCTTAAAAAACACAAAGCACATACTCTGAATAGGTGCCAAATGTGAAATTCTCACAAGGAGGGACAATAGATCTATCATGTGAGCCATTTTAAGACCTCACAAAAAGAATGAAACCTATGCCTATTAAAATCAAACATTCATTGGAAGTCATTTCAAGTGTGCAGAACTTACTATTTGCAGTATTTTACTCATAAAAAACCGGACACCAGTTTATTTAATTAATATTTCAGTTAATAAGTTTAATTAAAGAATATTACTGGCAAAACAGCTAATAAACATTTAACTAAATAGCCCAAGTCTCCCAGATGCTTAGTGCCCTCAAGTTACATTAGAGTGCTAATGTAGACTCAAGCATATTTTGCCAGTCATGTTTTATATTAAGGATACATTTATAAATAGTTTAGAAAGGTTAGTACATGATTAAGAGATGTTGTCTGTAACAAGAACAGGAGTACTTGTGGCACCTTAGAGACTAACAAATTTATTAGAGCATAAGCTTTCGTGTGGGTTGTAGCCCACGAAAGCTTATGCTCTAATAAATTTGTTAGTCTCTAAGGTGCCACAAGTACTCCTGTTCTTTTTGCGGATACAGACTAACACGGCTGCTACTCTGAAACCTGTCTGTAACAAGTTATCAGAAGCTGGGCATAAGCACATTAGCAGATGAATACACATAAGAACGGCCATACTGGGTCAGACCAATGGTCCATCTAGCCCAGTATCCTATCTTCCGACAGTGGCCAATGCCAGGTGCTTCAGAGGGAATAAGCAGAAGAGGCTATCATCGAGTGATCCATCCCCTGTCATCTGCTCCCAGCTTCTGGCAGTCAGAGGCTAGGGACACCCAGAGCATGGGGTTGCATCCCTGACCATCTTGTCTAAGAGCCATTCATGGATATATCGTCCACATACTTATCTAATATTTTTTTGAATCCCGTTATAGTTTGGCCTTCACAATATCCCCTGGTGATGAGCTCCACAGGTTGACTGTGCGTTGCGTGAAATACTTATGTTAATTTTAAGAACAGCTGCCCATAAATTTCATTGGGTAACACCTTGTTCTTCTGTTATGTGAAGGAGTAAATAACATTTCCTTATTCAGTTTCTCAACACCAGTCACGATTTATAGACCTCTATCATATCCCATCTTAGTCATCTCTTTTCCAAACTGAAAAGTTCCAGTCTTTTTAATTTCTCCTTGTACAGAAGCTGTTGCATACCATTAATCATTTTTATTGTCCTTCTCCATACCTTTTCCAATTCTAATATATCTTTTTTGAGATGGGATGACCAGAACTGCAAGCAGTATTCAGTGTGTGGGCATATCATGGATTTATATAGTGGCATTATTATATTTACTACCTTATTATCTACCCCTTTCCTAATCATTCCTAACATTCTGTTAGCTTTTTTGACTGTCACTGCAAGTTGAGCAGATGTTTTCAGAGGAATATCCACAGTGTCTGCAAGATCTCTTTCTTGAGTGGTAGCAGCTAATTAAGATCCCATCATTTTGTATGCACAGTTGTTTTCATACAGTATGTATGTTTTCCTATGTGCACTGCTTTGCATTTGTCAACCCTGAATTTCATCTGCCATTTTGTTACCCAGTCACCAAGAAGGTGTTAGAGATGGTCATAAACTATCATTATCAGCCACCTATTGACCTGTTGGATTTTTTTTTAAATTAACCATTTATTAACACTGTTCATTTATAAATGGTTAATATATTATTATTTATAAATGTATTGTTAATATAAAGTGTGACCATTTTTCCTCCTTTTTTTGGAGGGGTTCAAAATTTGAAATATTTTAATCTGTAATTCACGTATTTCCGGCAGGTTCATGATCAAGAGCATATCATTACAACTTCCTTGTGCTTGTAGCAAACTTTATAGTTTGTAGCACACTTTAATTGCTGACAAACTGTTTTCCAATCACATGTTTAGTGGTAAAATGCCCAAAATGGACAGCCAGAATGAATATATTTTTGAGGAAAGTAATGATGTTTTAAAAGAAAGCAGTCTCATACTTCTCAGCAATAATATTGACCTAGGCTTGGATTTTTCCCCCCCAGTTCTGGCCATGCCTTAAATCTGCATTTCACGTAAGTTCCTACCTTGTACCCTGTACTGATGTTATGACAGGACCCATGATTGCTGATCCACGGTAGGCCAAAGAGGAGACCTCACTTTTCTCATAACGAATAGTCAAAACAAATGAACATTAGCTTCATTTATTTCTGGCAGCTGATGCGCAACACCAAGTGCATTACCCTTTCTTTTTATTTTGGCACATGTCTTTGTGCTGTAGCGGTCATGAGAAATGCATAACTGGATTTTCATTTCTACATTATCAACACCCATCATGAATGAACACACACACACAGTAACCCAGTTCAAAAAATTGTATACTGCACAGTAAAACCTAAAGGAGGAAATAACACACAATCTATCAAGGGCTTTTCATATGCCATCATTCATTTCAATAGTCTCCCTTTAGTAAAATATTACTGATGAACATATAGAAGAGATTTAAAGTGTAAAAAAAATGTATATTTTAAATGAGTTAAAGCTCCTGAAAAGGCGGCATTTGTTATCCAAATTTGGGACATATGATCATTTTGCATTTTGTAGACAACCCAGATTTTTTTGCATATATGAAAAATAGTGACAATTGAATAACACTGAAATATCTTCTGAGACCAGGAAGCGGTTGTTTTAAGTTTTTACCTTATTTACAACTTTACTTATTTGGCATTATAACATTAGCACTTTTTCTTATCCCTTGTAAAATGGTTCTTACAAAAGGTTGTAAGAAAATTAAAAAAAAAATAACCCCAAGTGATATATTTTACCATTACATATAACCCCCTGACCCCACTCCCACATCAGCAAGGAAAAAAAAAACGTAAGAAAAGAAACCCTAAAACTTTCCCCACATCTTTTTGTGTCTGCAACATCAACTTTATCTGTCTACAGACTTAGCCTCAAAACAGCACTAGATGTCATTTTAAATTTGAAACACCTGTATTCATAGTCCAATGGGAAAAAGTCTAATCTAGATAGGATAAAATGTAAACAGGATCTTGAGTAGGAAAGACCTAATACTGCAAAATAAATTTATGCTGGAGAAAGTACAATTGTACATGGAAGAAAATGAAAATATCAACTGGAGTTTTAAACACTTCTCAAATGTATAAAATAAATCCTATTTCATGCTGCAGACCACAAGTATAGCAGCTGATCCCAGCATAGACTCAAGAGCAATAAAAGCACCTATTCTTTTTGAAAGCTGAATGCTGTTTTTCCTCATTTTCTTAGGTTAACCTGTGTTTTATAATAACAGTGCAGAATTCTGTCTTTTGGTAAACATAAAAAATTATAATTTCAGAGCTAAAGAAGCAGGCTTGTATTGTGTGTGCAAGGCAGGCATTTTATTTATGTCTGAGATAAATAATTTGAGTCAAATCCTCAAATGCCTTATTAGGAAAGAGGAAACATGACACCATGCCACGAATGTCTCAAAAAAATTGCAGATGCGGCCAGGAGGACTACGGAGTTCACAAGAGTATATTTGTGGCTTTGCTGGAACCAAAACTGTTCCCACCTGTGCCGGGCCCTATTGCTACTGGGTCTGTCTAGGTGTAATGAACAGCAAGCAGATATGTTTTTTCTGCAGTTTCTCTTTCCTGTACATAAGCAGAAATGTCACTCACTTACCTGAGACTTCTGCACCCACATTAGTGAGTTCAGTGATTCAGGACAGAGCCCTTTGTAAATATTTTTAAAGCTCTAAATAATCAATGCTTGACAAATAATAATAATTTCCTCCTAAAAAATTAAATTACTGTGCACCCCCTGAAACTAATATTAAAATGCTACTAGTTCTGGGCCCACAGTGTTTAACATTATTGACAAACTATCAGCCCAATCTTCTAAGTAGCCCAAAAATACACCCTACAAGAATGCACAGCAAAAATTATAACGTATCTCAATAATGAGCCGCCTTATTCTTTTTTTAAAAAAGCATCTCTGAGTTTAATTCAATTATATAACAAGGGGGAAACATATGCAAAACATAGCTAGCACTCCTTATATTTAATCCTCACCTCAAATTTCTGTCTGAGTTCTACATTTCCATCATCATCAGCTTCTGGAATTGGGACATTGTAGTATTCACCTTCTTCTTGGTTAAGCAACTTGTACCTGTGGAACACATGGAAGCGGGGTGACGGGCCAAATTAATTTTACTTCTCATTAAAATATATTTAGTATCGTATATGTGGCCTGTCTGAAAATATAGGACGAAATCCCATCCCTACTGAAGTCAATGGCATCATTCCCAGTCATGTCAATAGGGCCAGAATTTCAACCACTGTCACAATAGTGTAGTAAAACTATTTTATAAGGCTTAAAGTGGACATGTAATTCATTAAATAAGACAAGGACCCGACAAGATGTTGTTTTGTAAAATCAGTTACTATGTGTTTCTGAGCAGGGTTATATTGATCATGATATATTTACTGTTATATATACACTTGCGTATTCAAGATCAATACAACGCCCACATTGCCAAATTCTGCTCTCTGAATTGAGTTTGCAGCACTGGCTGGTTACAGGAGGAGTTTCACACACAAATTCAAATGCACGTTTTTGCTTTTAGTATTTTAATTTTGGGGAGATTATTTATAATTTAAATGCTCCATGTTTAATTTAATGATCCATGAATTTAAACACAGGAAATTATGCAAAAAGCATAAGGAATGTCTTGGGGTTGAAAATATTGCTATGTAACTTTTTAAAACTTCCTCTCTTTCTAGGGCACCTCTTACCATCCACACGCTGGAATTTTCATAAGCTCTGACACCCCAAATGAAAGAGATCCCATGAAATCATTTCTAGTCGTTCGATCCCAGTCCCAAACTTCTATAGATAACCGTCGATCTTTGTCTGTAGGTTTCAATTTACTACAAAAAGGGAAGAAAAAATTAGAAAAAAGTAGGCATGCTTTAAGTTTTCAAAAGTACAATTCAATAAACCACATGGTGCTACATAGATAATATAGCATTACAAAAGGATTGAACTTACAATGTAAATGACTCATTCCAATGTGGGTTTAGAGTGGAACGGATGGTTTTTGTTTTTTGTTTACTTTCATTCTTCGGGTCAGGGATAAGTTTCAGCTTCACATATGGATCTGAAAGTCCATTTGGATCCATAGGGATTAAGTTTTTTGCTTCTCGTACTGCAAATGTAAAATGTATAATGTATTATGTATCTATTCATAGAAGAGAAATAGCATAATGCTAATTATATAGGACTACAAAACATTAACAACAAAAGAATAACGTTAAGTCACAGGAAAGAAAAATGTAAATTACTGATTTTAAGCATATTAGAAAATAAAACTAAAAAACCCCCATGCAGATCCACTAATGAGATCAGGTTAGTGGACAAAACTTTGACTGTCGTGGGCTGAGGTTCATTTCTGGATATTTGCTTCTGCCCTGAGCATGACAGGAAGAAATGGTCAGTTAGTTAGACAATGCACATAAAACACTGGCACACCACAAAGGTTATTTTCTGCCCATGGTATGATTGTTTAGCAACCAAATCCAATACAAAGAACTTCTAAGTTGGTAACTATTCTATGTGCCTTTATTAACTTGGACAAATAGCAGCTCTGTATTACATTTTGCTGCACTTGCAAAAATGAATAAAAGGAGAATTTAAGAAGTCTGGGAACACAGCAAACAGATGTATTGTTTGTTCAATTTCTGAATCACAAGACCCATCTTATTGCATTCAGCAGCCTACAAGAGTAGGATAGCTTTGCAAATGTTGGTACCTTGACTTCGAAAAGATGTTAAGTTGCTGTCATGAAACAGAAGGGCTGAGAAGAGTGATTTTTTTAATTCTGCAAGTTTGAAACTGGTTCATATACAAAGGAAGGAGATCTTGGATATACTGTAACTGATTTAAGTTCAGAAGCCATTATAAATGCAGTTGGGTAAGCCTGCAATACCTACAAAGCCATTTTGCTTAATGTACTTTTAAAGTAATCTATGTGCTCAATTATCTAACCACAGGGCTGTTTATTTTGGTGCTTAGATAGCCTGTTAACAGGGCCACACAGGTACCTGAATTGCGAACAACAGATTTCACAGGGTATGTGTTGCATTGTGGGTAAGCTGTACACATTTTTCTATAATTGATTATTGGAGAACATACAATGTTAAACTCTCTACAGACTAGTTGTTCATGAAAATGTTAGATGGAGCCACAACAAAAATGTGAACAGGCACGTCAGAAACTTAAAACAAGGTTACTTTGCTCTTTTAATTATCTCAAGTTGCACATGAAAGTTGTGGTGGCTTCCAATTTTATGATGTTGGGGGGGAAACTACAAATGTGCCCATTTTGTACTTTCTAGATTCTGAATCAACTCCCCATATGGTATTGATCCCAAACAGGTGTGTGAGACAGATGAGAACAGTCTACTATGGTCTGCACACGTCTACGTTCAAGTTGGGGGTCTCACAAGGTCATACCCTGAGAGGTGTCAAGCAACTGCCGACATCAATGGGAACTGATGCATTCATCAGAGGCTCAGCACACCCAGATTTTGGTCCATCCGCGACTGCATCAGCAGCAAGCATTAATTAAACAGTCCAGCAGCCACAGCAGAGGAGTGCTTTAAATTGATGAGCAAATGTATTAACTGAAATTCTCCCCTGTGCAGAGAACCTTCACAAGTCCAATGTGCCATGAAAGTCATGCTGTTTTGAGTGTTTAAGTGAGGCTTAAGTGGCACAGCAGCTTTGCGTTCGCCCTCAGACCAGGGGTGAATTTCACCCTATTGAGAAACTGTCCCCACCCCCACTTTGTGCTGAACTCTAATTAACATTAATGCAGGTTCCATTTGTGGAACAATTGCAGGGCTTGCAACAGAGATCCACAGGACATATCACAGAGGACAATTTGGGCCTTTCACTTGCAAAGCGTACTGTGGGCTGAATAAGCATATCCAAACCATAAATATAACCAATGGCTTGTTTGTATAAAATTTTGCTCACTGGAGTAGCCTTCTGAGCTACACAATTCACTGTCCTGAGATCTCCATATTCCCCAGAACTGCTCTAACTTATACTCAGTCTGCCTGTGGGCTCCGAAGGGCTATAAGCAGCCAAGAACAGCTGCAGTGCAGCGGTGTTCTGGCCTTGGCTTCTTCTTCTGAGCCTGTCCCTTGGGGCGGCAAGGGATGCTGACGTAGAACTTTTCTGCCAGTGGTACACCAGCTGAGGGCATTCCTGAGTGCGTTGGGGGGCGAGAGGGGAGGAAGAGAGCAACTGCTTTTAAGACACTGGAACAGCATAAAGAGGCCTCAGGGTAATGGAGACTTTTGCCTCAAAACTATTAACCCTTATTTCTCGTTTTAAATTTCTAAATTCAATCCGTCCGCTTTCAGTGCAGCAGAACATTCCATTTCCAAGCTCTGCCATATGCACAACAGCATTCCTATCTGATTTCTTCTGAATTATGATGAATTGAAAACTTGGTGAAATTTTAAAAGGAAATTGCCAGCTGTCACCAGAGACAATCATTTAAACTAAAAAGAGCTATTCCTCTCTAACGTCACTGGAGTGGCATACCAGTTGGGTTTAAAACAAATTTTCTGACCTGGAAAATCATCCATTTAATGCTAAATGAAATGCCAAGTGACAGAGTCTAAGGTACTGGCTTTAGCGGATACCCATGTTTAAGATGAAATATAGTAATACTTCTACAGGGAAATATTGATAACTGCAAAATCACTAAAGCATCACATTGATAAATGACTGTTGCTCAAGTTTTTCCTTATGTTCAACTGATTTATTAAAGGGAACAAAATCTAATATTTGTAACAGAAATCTGTTTTCAGAATCCGCACTGAGCAAAAAAGGCAAAACAGGAGTACTTATTGTTTTTCAAAACTAAATCCAGAGTGTTTTGGGTTTTGGTCCAAGTTTAACTGAACTCTCAATTTTTGGGATGTAGTTTTTGGATATACGAGGCTGTTTCTTACCCATCCCTAACATGTACCACTTCTTACAACAGCATTATAGGGACACAGTCAACTTAAAAATCTGACCCCTGACTTTGAACTTATTGTTGTCACAACTGAAACGTAAAATACTAAAAATGAAAGAAGTTAGTGAAGAGGGGGGCGGGATATTTTCTCCCCCATTTTGTCTATATATTTGACAATTCTTTTTAATTGCGTCCCCAATGTAGTCAGGAAGAGTGAATTTCACCCCTGTGTACAGGGGTTACACATGACCTATGCAACAGGGCTGCCCAGAGGATTCAGGGGGCCCGGGGCAAAGCAATTTTGGGGGCCTCTTCCATAAAAAAAAAAGTTGCAATACTATAGAAGACTATATTCTTGTGGGGGCCCCTGTGGGGCCCGGGGCAAATTGCCCCACTTGCCCTCCCCTCTGGGCGGCCCAGCTATGCAACACCAAGATGCAACCTCTTGATCAAAATGGGGGAGTGAATAGTGGCTACACAGCTGATGTTGGGAACTGCATTTAAAGCAGGACTCAACTTCATTTGTTTTCGACTTGAATAAATTTTGTTCCAAAATTTAGCATAACACTCTTCCAAGTACACTGAATTTTCATGTAATTAAAAAAATCACTAACTTTTCCAGCAAACATATTTTAAAATTGTCCCTTATTTGAAACTTTGCCCTCAGAGCCTTATTTTTTTTTTTTACATTACTCTAGTTGAACCAACAGAATTCTCACTAATTCCAAACCTCACATTCTAAGATGGCAAAAATCTCCTCAAAAATTTTAACAAATAAATAAGCCAGAGATTTTCTTAACTTAATCCATCTGTTTCTGTCTTTAACTTTGTGTTTTTAGAAATTAATATTACACTCTCCCATCCGATTTCACAAAATGGCAATACTTTGCTCTGACTGTAGTTAAACTACACTAACAGGTGTAGAATTTCCTGGTATGCACAACTATTGCGTCTCTTTCTTTGCCTTTGTTTGTTGAAACTACTGAAGATACATGCACTGGCTTTAGAGCAAAATAATATAAAACTGCATAATATGCAACCATTATTTGACCCTAAGTTCGAACTGGGAACTTCTGAAGAAGAATCTTCTGATGTATTCATTCCAGGTGAATGTTTCTTGATTTCTTATAATAAAATAATGTATTTCATAAACTGAAGTTGGGATGCTCTCTCTCTGACCCACATGCCTGATTACAAAACTATTTACAGTAACTAAAGCTATCCACTGCAGCAAATATTTATAGTGATTATGTCTGCTTTTGGGTGCTCCTGCTATAGAGATATCTGTTTACACACGGCTTTCATGCCACCTATTTGCCATTGATGCTACCACCAGTCCAGCTCCAATGCTGATAGCAACAGTGGAAGCTGGTGGCTGCCAAAGTTTTAACCACAATCTTCTGGTGGCTGCCAAAGTTTTAATCGCAATCTTTAACCCAGCTTGGTGCAGATCTAGATGACATAGTGTTAAAAATGCCAGTGGCCACAGAAGCATATTCAGCTCCACCAGTGGGAATGATAGCATCAAAGAGTGGTAGCGAAGGTGGGAAATTTTAGGTAAGAAATGCTAGAGGGGAGACAATCTTTCACTACAGCTGAAAACTCACATTGTGGTCATATATAGGCATATTTTCATTTGACTTGCATACCAAATGTTAACTGCTCTGTGATATCAAATGTGGCAAGAACACATCTGTTGAGCTGACTGTATTGTGTTTCTGCTTTGGAATTTAAAAATTGCACATCTTTAGATTTTTAATTTAAATACTTAATGTTAATCATTCAGCTGGTATTGAGATGTTTTACTTTGCAATTACCAGCTGTCAAGCATAGATAAGAATGAAAGCAACACAGGTTAACATGTCACATAATTTCATGTAAGGTCACAATACTATCAACTCATTATTAAATTTACTTACTTAGGGGCTAGAGGTGCAATATTTGGAAAATAACCACGCAGAATAATTGAAACGCTGGGGATACCTTTGTTTTCTAATTATCACAAGCTGTAAAGGAATTTATAATTTTGCTGTAGGCTAGAATTTGGTTTTACAGGAGGCCTTTCATTAATAACATATCCCTAAGTGTTTTGTAGAAATTGAGTTACTGTAGATATTGTAACCAAGTGACTTTGTGAATTCACCCTTAGCTTTCACAGTCATGAATGTTAGAAAC